TACAACTTGGTCTTCTTGCTTCCTTCCTTGCTCCCTAGACTCTATATTCAATTTAGCAGTCAGAGTGATCCCTTAAAATATACATTAGATGATGTCACTTCTCAGTTCAAAAAACTCTAACAGCTAAACAATAACAGAGTAAATGCCAATCCTTTGAAAGCCTAAATGGCCCTAGATGGTGCAACCACAGTTATCTCTGACTTTCTGTCTTACTATGCTCTGACTCCCTCTGATCCTTGCTATTCTGAAAGTATTCCAAGCACGTTCAAAGTTTTGGGGCCTTGCACTTGCTCTTCCCTCTGCCTGTAATGCTTTTCCTTCAGAGATCCATCTGGCAGCCGCTTTTTCAAATCTTTACTCAACTGTGAGGCCTTTCCTGACTTCCCTATTTAAAATTGCAACCCTCCAGCCTCATCATTCACTACGCTTCCCTGCTCTATTTTTCTCCATAGTATTTAATACTTTCTAAAAAATGCTACCATTTTATTCATTCTATTTGTTTTTTGTTCCCTTTCCCAGATGTAAGATCCTTGAGAGCAGAGATCTGTATGTTTTTTCCTTCCACTAATCCTAGAGCAGTACATGGCATAGCATCCGCACTATTTATTCACTGAGTGATACTCAGTATGTTATACCTTGTATCCTAGTTTCACATAGAGAAATGTCCCCCACTAGCCTGTGAGCTGCATAAGGGAGGGTGGGTTTCATTCTGATTTCCCAGGCCCCTTGCTCAAGGTGTTTCACACAGAATACACGACTGATTCATGGTAACTGAATGATGGAAGAAAAGACTCCCCTTCCTTAAATATGGAGACATCCTGGAGAGCCCTGGTAATTGTTAAAGGAAGGTGTAGCAGACACCACTGATGCCAGCTCCATGTCCCCTCAGCTCACCTGAGCTAACTGCATCTTTAGTTCCCAGCACACTGATACCTGCACCTGTCCTCTTCTTCTCTTCCTGGCAGAAAGTACATTGAAGAGTTAACATTCCTGGCGATAACCTTCAACCAACAGGGGCAGGAATTGGTGGATAAATGCCCCAGCTTCCCCAGCCACTGGCCAATGTGGTCAGAATAAAATGGTGTCAGTAGTGTTTAAGTATGAGCTTGGAAGTAGAGCATTTAAACATTTAAGAGGTCACCACATGTACTACCATACCACAAACAGGCTTTAGTTTGAAAATGCCATCTAAATAATTTATTTCCAGCATCCAGCAGTCTCTGGCATCTAGTAGGTACTCAGTGGATGCTTGGAACATGAATAAACATATGCCTTTAATGGCGGGACTCACCAATCTTCAGAGCTTGCTCAAAGGTGGTGACTTGAGAATGATGTTCTTAACTGCTAAACTCGCCTACATACGTGCACACGCACACACACACACACATCCTGAGTGTCCTAGGAAACTCCTTTCTCCCTTACCTCCTATGAGATCTGGGAAGTAGCACTTCATTGGTGCCCTCACTGACCTAGAAAGTTAGGCTGAGATGGCTCTCTGAGACCATGTAGTTAAATCCAGTCAATCACAAAGCTGGGGCTGAACACAAATGTCCAGGCTCCAAGTGTCTCGTCCTCTTTCCACAGTAGCCACTGTGAACATTCCAAGGAAGAAAGTAATTTTGGAGGATAACAGTCATGACCATTTTCAAATTCAATTTCAAAAAAGCGTTACCATTTAAGAAAGCCTGCCAAAAAGATAATGGAGATGAAAAAGTGCACTGTAAACTGTAAAGCGCTATCCAAAGGTTAGCTGTCTGAGGTTCACTGCCAAGGTCAGCAAATCCAGGCCTGGATATAGAGCCAGTTCTTACATCAGAGGAGCTAAGGAAAGGCTGGTCATTCAAGGGGCCCCTTCTGAATGGGACACCAGTGTATTTGCTCGGATCAAAAGGACACAGTTGCTTGCCTGTGTACCACCCTCACCCCCACCCCCTATTTTAAGTACAAAACACTAATGCTGAATAGAATCATGCTTACATTATATATTTGTTTTAAAACTGATAATTTTCTGGACCCTTTCCCTTTTGCTTGTATTTCAGAGCATACTGAGCTCTGGCCACCTGCACCACTGGGCAACGGACTGTCTATCCAAGGTTTCCAACCGTCTGGGCACATTAGTGTTTTTCTTCTACATTAGTTTACATTTGTCCCAGCTGCATTAGAATTTAGATTCTGCACATACTCTGGCTCTCAAAACCACATTCTTTTGCCCTCACACTACCTCTTTGTCTTCTGACAACTGAATGAGCATTGTTCTCCTGGCTTGTCTCATGAAAGGGGACCCTGATGAAGAGTAAACTTCCCACTTTCCAGGCTTCCTTATCCTAGCGCCCAACTGTAGAAGGGGGGCAGTGTTTGGTGACCTCTGGCGTTAGGTTAACGATCTGGGTCTGGGCCCAGGCTGGATAATGAGCCTGTGAATAATGCGGAGTGGACTGTCAAAGCCTTATCATGGTGAAGCTGAGAAGCAGAGACAGCTTTGTCCTGCACTCCCTGCCTCTTCTCCCCAAGCATCTTTTCTTAATCTGTCAAAGCTAATGGGGTTTATGTGGCAGACATTCACTCCTCACAAGCTCCAATTCGAGCGGCTGTGCACCGATTCAGTCTCGGATGTTTCTACACTTAAAGGCTTGTAAAACGGTGAAAGAAAGATAGTAGATAAACTTACAGAAACCTTTCTGTTCTAGGCTGGAAAAAAGACTCTGCTTTATTTCTCTACTGTAATAGGAGTCCTGAAAAGCCCAAATTAAAGCTGCAGAAAAAGGGTGAAATAAGAACACTAAAGGCACACATTTCCCAAGAGGTGTATTACCCAAGAAAAAGATGCAAACTTGGAGGAAGGTTTTTACTGCTGCATGGCCAGAAAAAAACAAAACACGTAAAAGCCTCCTAAGTTTGTCGTTTTTTTCTTGAGGTACCATTAGTAAAATTTTTATTTGTCAAGAGCAAAACTTGGGGGAAAAATTAAGAAATAAATGGTCTTCTTAAGTTCTTACTGGTTTTCAAAGTATCCATCTAAGGGGCTAAGCAGAATAATTCTGGGACTCAAAAGTCCTAGCCTAGTTAGTAATCCTTTCACACAACCAAGACCCAAACATGAGCTATGCTTTTCAAGTTGGTGACTGGATGGGCTAAAGGGCATGGGTGATCTCAACTCACCACTGGCTGGGAGGAGAACCTCTCTGCCTACTACTCCTCTGGATCAAATTTTAAGCCAGAGTTTAGGAGCAGCTGTGTACTTCTATTTCCAGGTAAGAGTTCCCTCAACTACTCTCAATGCCATGGTAAAGCTAAATAGTTGATAGAGAGGGGTGGGGCTGGAGACAGAGAGGAAGCCTGGCGGCTTTTGCTTGCTTTAAAACCAGACCACTGAGTGCAAGAAAGAGGCAGGTTTCAGGCACTTGATAAACGAAAAGCAAACTTCTTTATTGTACACAGTACAGAATATAACGCAGCTTGGCAGGATGCATACAGCCCTGCGCAGGGGAAAGTATTTCAAATCAACTGGCAGGTTAAAGCCTTTCTTCTGCACTGTAGACTTTCCACACTCTGGAAAAGAAGCAAAAAAACAGACCCCCCAAACCCTGAAAAAAACCCAAAAACCATCCGGGAGGTACATGAATCCGGTGGGAATGCCATGGTGATGCTGCCGTCCTATGTCCTGTGACAGCACAGGCCACATAGTTTCAGCAGGGGAGGGGTAGCTCAGGCTATAGAGGATTACTTTCATACTTGCTAAGACAGCATAAGTTCATAAAAAACAAAACAAAACCAAACAACCGACAAAAAAACCCAAACCAGGATAAGTAAAGAAAGGAAAAACAAATCTATACAGCATTTACAACAAATAAATCTCTAGCCGGCAGGGGGGTTAAATATGCATCTATGTATACAGATTATGTGTAGGTTAGAAAGCTATAAATATGGTTTTAGAAAGAGTCTTTTGATTAGAGTACAATGCTAATTAAGACCCAAGCTATAGGTTCAACACCTCTGTGGGCTAATTAGTTTCCAATAGAGGAAAATCTATTGTTTCCACAGCTATAAAATGAACCCCTTGTCTCTGAGAACTTCTTCACAAATGTGCTGTCAGTCACAAGGGGGACTGTTTGAAACTATGGAACGCTCCATTAATAGAAAAGCAATTCAAGGCATGTGTCTTACTCTCATGGAGTCAGCACTGTCTCCTTCACATCTCAGGAACAGCACAGTCATTCTTAACATGCTAAGTGTCAAGGGGAGCACAGAACTCTACCAATGGAGCAGGCAGCAAAGTACTACCACTTTCTAGTAACTTTTCCTCTACTTCGAGCTCAACTTTCACATAGCTTTAGCTTGGTTTAAAACTTTTCCAATATAATACAGCATTCAAAATAAGCTTAAAAAAAAGTGGCAATAGAATGCTAGCTCTGTTTTACCTGTCAGGGTCACACATAAGTCGCTTTAGCTTGGTTTAAAACTTTTCCAATATAATACAGCATTCAAAATAAACTTAAAAAAAAGTGGCAATAGAATGCTAGCTCTGTTTTACCTGTCAGGGTCACACATAAGTCTCGAACCCTACTGAATCATATGTAGGAATTAAAGTCCAAGATTAAAAGGAGAAGGAAATCAAAACAAACGGATGAAATGGAAACTGTTACCAGTTATGTCCAGGGAAGAATCCCTAGGGTTCCCACCAGGTGACCAGGTTTCAAATGGATGTGATGTGTATTATGTACATATGCTTTCCATGTTTGAGAGGGCATGTTTGTGAACATGGGGAACTATACATATAGAATTTAAGCTTGTGTCCAGACTGCCCTGCACACTTCAGAAATGTACAACTCAGGTTCAAATGTTCCATCAGGCTGTCTGGTGCAGAAAGCACTAAGCAGGCAACAAAGTGGGCTTTTACATGGCTAAGGGGAAACCCCCAGCAAAGCCCCTCTCAAGCTGCAGCGTCTTCATCATTTGGCACGGCCCTGGATAAAGGACACAGTGCACAGTTACCAAAAGGGTTTTTTTTTTGCTTTAAATACCAAAACTACAAAAATCAGTTTATAAACTGTTTTTCCAAAACAACCACCAAAACAAAACAATCCCCCAAATCAAAGTAAAACAAAATACTGTCAAAAGTGTTCATTGCCCTTCTCCTAAAATGAAAGCTGTCCACACTCGGCCATGTGACTGGAAAGGGAAAGGGGGCTTGCTCTACTTGGTGACCACATGGCCAGAAAGGTTCCCAAGAGTAGCAGTGACTTACAATTTGAGAACCATGGAGTGGGTAACAGCTGTTCTGACTTCTCCCCTTTTTTCTAGACCAATGGGAAACATTTCAGATCGAGCTAGAAGAGCTCTCCAAATTTCAAAACATATTTTTAACCCTTAATAGTTTGAGCCTCCCTAACTTAGCCTATGTACTTTTCTATGGGTTTGTGATTTCTTTTTCAATAATTTGTGCAAACTAGAGCCCTTCTATGTAAAGGCATTTAATAGCCCATGATCAATGAAGATTGTCACACATTCTGTCCCGTTTTGTGGGTACTAACCTGAACAAGGTATTGCTTTGCATATATTGTCCACAGTAAGGAGGCTCCATTTTGATCTTTTCCCAGAAACCTCATCAGAATCAGAGTTGAGGCACCAGCCTTTTGGTGGTTTTCTGCCCCTCCCCGTTCCCACTCCTATCTTTAAGGTGTATGTCTTTAAGGGTGCCAATCCAGAGATGGCTTGGGTTTTCCAGATAATACTCAAAGGGCAAGCTTAAGGAACAGCCAAAAACACAAACAAAACCACTGCCCTCATTTGCCTGAATGGGAACTGCTAGCTCTAGGGTTTGGCTGCTCAGCCACTCAGAAACTTAGTAAGCAAAACCCTCAGCATAGGGGAGGCTGCTGCAGCGCTCCAGATCCAGGAGGTAAGCAGGGCTGTCTTCGAAGTGGGTCAGCGGCAGGGTGTCCTCCTCGCTGAGGTGGCACTCGGACTCTGCCTTCAGGAATGGACGCTGATTGTCCGGGAAGGCCATGGAAAAGAGGGCATCCGGGTCACAGACAAATTTGTAGACGTATCGCTCCCCAGCCACCTGAGAGAGAAAACACACCTTACAAGGACCAGCTGGAACAGGGCATGGGGATCAAGGGAAGAACATGAGCTATTTCTAAGTCCCTGAGCTCTCAGGAGCCTGGGACCAATGGAGGCTCATAAGAAGCTGATTATCACAATCATTAAGATTTATTGTGAGAAATCTCAGGGACCTATTATGACCTACCAAGTGTTTTGATGAAATCACAGCTCAGCAGTTGAAAAGGAAGATATGCGAACTTCAAAATCACACTAGATAGGCTCTTTTAAAAGAAAATCCTCACTTTCTTATACTGACAGTTTAGACAGCATGGTTATGTGGAGGCTGGTGTGTGATGTTTTCAAGAAGGTATAGGATCGAAAGGTACAATACAGGAGACAGATCACATTTTCAGTTACCTCCCAAGTTTAGTGTTTATGGTATGGCTTTGTTATTTTGAAGGATTAGGAATGATTAGAGAGGCTGTGTGGAATTCTTTTTTTTTGGGGGGGGGTTTATGAGTATTCATGAGATGCAAAGCTGATTGTTGTGTGGAAATTTTAAGTTATGTTCCAAAGCCAAACAGAATTGCTTTCTGGCTTATATGAAGTTTTAAATTACTCATTGTGTGGTTCTGCTATATGAAGGAACTGATAACTACCTTTATATGTGTTCTACATATTATAATATTATTAGAATCAGAAGGTCTTGATTATTCAAGGGCCTCATCATGTAGTTGATGAGCCATCTAGGTCAATGGGATCACCCACTCTCTGCAGGTTGTTTAGCAACAGAATAAGAGGGCACACGCCACTGGAAACCAAACCTGATAATCAGCTACTGTCCGGAAACAAAGGGGGAAAAAGAAGGCAACTAAAAGTACTGATAAAAGAAACATTTTAGGCTAAAAATTTGAACTATTGAGTTTAATCCTGCCCTTCAGTCCTTCTGTTGTGATTCTAAAATCTCTTTTTAATTGAAGACATATGGCTTTGCTTCCAAATCTTTGATTTAAGAAGTCTGTTGCAGCAGCGGCTGGTTGTAGAGCTACCAGTACAATTATCCCAATAGGTCTTAAGCTCATTTTATGGTGACACTTCGGTGTCCAGTCACTAGAGCATGGGTGTCTACACCAACATTCCATGGAACTCCAACACTAGGTAACTAGGAACTATGTGTATGAAACTGGGTGATTAGTGTCTTCACCAGCAAGTCTTAAGGGTGGCAGACATGTGCAATCAACCATCCCTATTTAGTTTTTTAAACCACAGTGTTAACTTGAATCCCAACGCCAAAAGTCAGTTTGTGTGGAGGAGTGAGACAGGAGGACCTAGTGGACATAATGCTAGCTCAGAAGCCAGGAACAACATGGCTTCTGGTCCTGGTTTAGTCACTAATGTGTCTTAACCCCTATGAACCTCAATTTTCCCTTCAAAAACTGAGGGCATGGGACTACAGCTTTTCTAAGTCCCTCCCCACACTGACAGGCTATCATTCATCTTTTAATTAGTTCTCATTTGATCATGGGTTATATAATAAATAACATAATAATTCCTTATATTGGATTAAACATTATTATTTCTGGGTCATTTTCAATGTATTATCCTGTGAGATTACAGCAGAGATTATTATCTACAATTTTATTGGAAATAGAGGCTTTGGGAGGTTGAGTTTCCTCAAAGCATCCAACCAACAAATGGGAGTGTTAGAATCTGAACCTACCCAAGCCTCATTCCTGGGCCTTCTAGTATTCTTTACTTATTTCATCCTTAGAAAAAAGTTATCTTCTACTTCTGTAGAAAATCTAGGAGCTACTCATAGAGACAACTCATTTCCATTAATTCAAGTTATTGTGTCTTGGTTACATTCCCTCATGATGGATCTGGAGTTGGGAATAGCAAAGGAATAATGGCGATGCCTCCTGAACTTAGGATTTGACCTGATGGTCGAATTAACACTAAAAGGGGCATGGTGGCTCGGGGCAAATGCAAGTGACTGCTAATGGGTATGGGATTTCTTTTTGGGGTAGATAAAATGTTCTAAAATTGATGGTGGTGATGGTTGCACAATTCTGAGAATATACTACAAACCACTGAATTGTATACTTTTAAAAAAGAGGAAATAGGGCAGGGTGACCACCCATCCTAGAACACTTAACTCTGTGCCAAACACTGAAGTCAAACTTCAATTCCTGCCCCAAAGGAGCTTACAGTCCTGTGGGGGTACTGACAAGTAAAGAGTAATTTACAGCACAGACAGAAGGGTAGTAATAGAGATAAGAGCAGCTGCTATTAGAAGCAGAACAGGGGACCATCTAACCCAGCCTGGGGACTGCAGATTCTTGAAGTGAAAAGATGATTACTGAGACAGAAAACAAGTAGGGGCTGGCCATGTAACGAAGGCATCAGGAATGTTCTAGTTCTTAAGCAGGATGGTAGTTTAATAGGTGTTTTTCCATTTTATAATATGCTTGATAACACACATATGTGACACGTATTCTTTGGTAAATACTACATTAATTAACAGAAAAGGTGGTAATTCTAGTGAAAGCAGTCAAATGTGAGTGAGGAAACAGGAGTTAGATGGTAGCCTGACTGGGAACAGCCTGTATGAAGCACTAAATAGTCTGGACTTTATCCAGAAGATTATAAAAAGCTGTTCAACATTTTCTTAGGGTGGTGAGGGGAATACAGGGCCTAGGAGAGAGATGAATCTGGCTTCAGTGCAGACATGTTCTTAGCAGCAATGCCCATATGTTTCTGCCAAGTTCATCTTGTCGGCTACTACCATGTAGACTGCCTAAATGTGTAAATGCTAGAATCTGGGGAACAGTGCACTTACAACATTTTCTGGCTAAGAAACGCCAGCAAAGATTTGCCGTTCTCATCTTCTACTTATCCACAGGATTTTAAGATTGTTGTCCCTTACCACCTATCCCAATAAGGACTATTTTACTGGCTTCCTCAAAATATGCTTGAGACTCTATTCTGCAAAGAGCAACCTGCTACCAGGTGATTCTGCTCCCATTTTATAAGTCCTGGGTTTTTAACTTGAATTCCAGTTTCTATAGGTTCTGAAAGAGAAATAAGATTTTCTTATTCTTTTAACTAACCAACACATTTGGAAGTCTAAGTGTTTTAGCAACTAAATACTTCAACCAAGCTCTTGTGGGAGGAGAGATCTTCAAATTGATTTCGTGTACTCCTTTATGGATACAATAGTTGATCTAAGTTTCTGGACATTTTTGTAATTAGAGGCAGTTTAAGTAAAGCAGAGGAGCCTAAATTTCCTATTGGATGTTCCACACGCATCTTCTGGTTTCCACATACCCAAGAGCATTAAGGGTGCTCTTTATATCTCATCTGATGCTTAAGTTTGCTTTCTCAAGACTCTTCCCTACCACAGAATCACTTACAAGGTTGACGTTTTCTCCTAGCTGTTATAAACAGTCTTATTATGGGTGCTCTTTATATCTCATCTGATGCTTAAGTTTGCTTTCTCAAGACTCTTCTCTACCACAGAATCACTTACAAGGTTGACGTTTTCTCCTAGCTGTTATAAACAGTCTTATTATAGAGCCCTGGACATCTCCTTTGACAGTAGTCAGGGTGGTCTAAGTGTGTTGTGTCATTGCTCACCTTCTGCATGATGCCCTTCTCATAGTAATAGCGTAGAGAACGGCTCAGCTTGTCATAGTTCATGGCTGGCCGGTTCTTCTGGATGCCCCAACGTCTTGCAACCTGAAGAGACAGGAAAGCAAAGAAGCAATGGAAACACATTCCCTGGGCCTAGTGGTTTTCTCCCAGTCCCAGGAGAGCCAGTTATATAGCCTGACTACTTTGGTCAGCAATCCATTTCTCTGACCTGGAAGGGAAAGCATTTAATTCCCTCAAGAACACACATTCAAAAAAGGTGATGATTCAGTCACAACTGCGAGGAGGTGAGATCTAGAGGTGGAAGAATCCTATCACTTTAAGATTGCAGAGGGCTTGGCTAACATCCCAGAGGATGCAGACTCTCTACTGTTTCTCCACATATGAATTATTGACCAATACCCATAGACCATTAACATGTGGCCATTAACTGCTATGGTTTCTGTAGCAGTCAATAAGGAATAATTAGAATGGTCATTCCTGAAACATTAGAAACACACTACTGAGTTGCTAATGGGCCAGCAGAGCAAAAGTTCAATTCTAATAAGATTGGAAAGGGGCTGGGAGATGTTTACTTATTGCAGCTCATGGAGTAACGGGGGAGTCAGATCATTTCAGCCTGCTGCCATCCAATCCCCTGCTCCCAGCAGACTTGCAGAATGGACATTAAAGCATGCAGCACCATTATCCACTTAATGAAAAATTAACAGGGCTTCTCAAACAGTTCTGAAGTGCATTATATCCAGCCCAGTCCACCTGAGGTGCAGTGGTGGGGAGATGTAATTGGAGCTTTGGGCAAAGAAGCCTCATGGCAGGAAAACTTCCTAGTAGAGTTTATCTAATTCTCAGGAAAGCCAAGCAATTTCTGTTCTTAAGTATCTCAACTTCCAAAATCTTACTTATGAGGATGGCTGTCATGGTAGGAGAAGAATAATCCTGGAAATCTGAGATTTCTCAAAGGTCTTTAAATGTATGCAAACCAGGTTGGTTTTGGAAGCTTTTTAAAAAAACAAACTACATTCCTTTGATCTTTTAAAAACCAAATGTTAAACATGGAGTGGGAAGTATGGAGAAAATAGCATTTCACATTAAGCATTTCCTTAAAGTATTTGGGCAAAATGAAAGCAACATCTCCTAAATTCAGGATTCTAAAATGACCTTTAATAAATACCAAAAATGATCTGATAAGAATGCATTTGTCCTAATTACATTAGAATAATTCAATAGGCATGATTCTACTCTGCTGTGTAAGAAACTCTGTGAAAGTTCAATTTCCATTTGTTTGCTTCATGCCCCGGTGGCAGACATGATGTCCCCAGGTCTCTTTTCTCTGTATTGCACCCACTCAACTCTATCTTCAAAACAGCCCAAAAGGTAAAATTAACCAAAAATTACATCCTGGTTAGAAAAGATAAACGTTTTAAATCAATGTAAATAGTGGGGAGAAGGGAAATCTGCTAAACCAATATTTCCTTCTACCCTATTCAAAAAAAGTGACACTCCATGAAACTAATTGTCTGCCTCAAGTGACAGGGACATTTAAAAGAAGTCCAGACTCATCATTTTACTATGTTTAGTTGTGGAAAACAATTCTTGAATATTCTTCAACTTTAGCGGCAACCTCTCTTTGCTTTGACTTGCATATGCAATAGCTTGCTGAAGAGAGTTTTGTATATGCACAGATTTCAAAGCAGCTCTGGTAGCCATAGTTACTGACTCATCCTCTCAGGCCACAGCTCTATGATTCAGTAGCCCTCACCAAGGCTGCTCCTTCCATAGTAATGAATGATGCAGCACAGCACCAGAGCAGCTGGAAATCAGGGCTGCTCCTCTTCTAGGGGGAGGGGGTTCAGGCCAATAGCTTGTTACCAGCTCTTTACTTTCATCTTTCCCATTAGTTATTTTGGTAGCACACGTCTTGAGGACTGAGGATGAAGGAGTTAAAAAAAATCCACTCATCTCCTCCTCCCCTTTAAAGATAGAGGAGCCGCAGCACAGGGAGCGGCTCTTTCTAGCAGCCCATCCTTTAAAACCTCCCCATGGCATCAGTTATCTGCCACATGTTCAACAAACAACCCTACCCCCCAAAATATTCATTAATGCAGATTCACAGTTAAAATGGCTCCAGATTAAAGCCGAGTCAGTCATAATTGAGAGGGTGCTAAGCTGGATGACTATCAAAAGACATTTGATTAGGGGGCCTGCCAAAACGCAGTTCTAAAACCACAATTTCCATGCACAGTGTAATGGATATTATGGATAATTACCCAGAGTGCACTACTCAGCCACACAGCTGCCTACAATTACGTCCCCAGCAGCTTCCTCCTCCGCCTCACCCTTCAAGCTCCCCCCATGACAACTTCTTACAGCTTTTTCCAAGAATTGGTATCTTCCTGACATCAACAAGAATAGAACCCTCACAGTTACACAAGGAGTAGAGGGGGAAAACTCAACAAATGTTGCGTGTCCTGAGGCTAAAGTGCATGTGTGGAACCCAATCGGTCCTGGTTAAGAGAGTGGAACATTTGGAGCTTACGGAATGCTCAGGGACTTCAAGGTGGGGTGGAAAGAAGCACTTCCTGAAGAAACAAAGCTGCCCAATCAACCAAGGGAGGCTCAAGGCCACCGCAGGCCTCTCACATGACTTGGCTGCTTGGCATTTATGAACATTCTGGATGAATATTAGTTCCTTTATTAAGTAAGAAAGCAGAGGCCCTTTGCCATCTGTTCATCATTTTCTTTACCACTGGTAGGAGAGCGGAAGATTCAATAACAGCTTTACAAAGGGTCATAGCCAGGTTTACCTGCAGCTGGGCAGCCTGTGCTGGGGCCCGAGGCAGTGGCAATAAAGTAATAAAAGCTCCTGCTTGTGAAACGAGATAAATCAGTAAGTGCTGCCCACATGACAGATCTACTTTCAAAAAGCCTGTGAGTCTAGGTGATATGCTTTCCTCAAACTTCACATAAGCCAGGCCACATTATTAGGAATGCAGTGAGGGGGCGAATGGGTTCTCCAGTAGGGCTGGAAGCCTAAAATATGGCTCCATTTCTACATGACTTAGCCAGAAAGAAGTAGTTAGAAAAATACAGCGGTACCAAACCCTGGCTTTGAAGGTAGACTGAGCCTAATAGGAACTGTTTACAGTATTGGATGTTGACACTTATCCATTCTTGTGAATGAATACAAGACAGGGAACACCATATGCATGTCTTCTTTTACAATAGCCTTTAAAGAAGCCTGCCTTATTCTCCTACCAATCAGGATTCTTCCTAAGTTTCTAATCTATATATTCTCCTTTTCCCGTTTTAACTTTCAGACCATTTCCTTCTTCAAAACCAAGTGCCAGGTTGTTACCTCCTGCTGTTAACCCCCATACCAACTTTTCCCCGTGGTGCACTAAAGTGAGCCCTGGAGTTAACTGAACAACATCTAAAACCTCAGTCTTCCTCAAATGCTTTCCAAGAGTACTGTTCCCATTTCAATTATATACAACTCAGAGATACCTTTTGCTCTGCTGGCTTAATACATATGCCTAGGTACATATTACCAAAAGAAACATATGTCAGTTTTGGGGGGCAGTTATTATTGTTTTTTTTTTATTTATAATCTCTCTAGATTCTAAATCAAATAAAAACTAAAAATCACCCCTCATTAGATTATGTTAAATTCAGACCTGATTTAATTTACTTTGTTACGTGATAGTCAGGAAAAAGGTTCTATGTTGTGTCTTTTCCATTGAAGAAATGGTACTGGTTCTGTCCATAGGTCTTTCTGTCAATAGTTCTGGGCAAAATGACAGTAACAATGTTTCTTTTTCTATTAGCAAAATAATGGAGGTTCTCTGTCATATCTCAACTAATGTGATGCCACATAACACATTTTAAAAAATCTAAGCTCATAAGATTGACCCATCTCTGATAATTTTATTTCTCCAGGTTAGAGCCATTTAAAATATGCAGTGGGGTAGTTGCATCCCGTAATATATCACCAAAATGTCATACAATGTGTTCATGTAGCCTCAGATATAGGCTGCGACATACAAGGGCTGAGGCCAAAACAAGTTTGTATCATCGAAACAACTCTTGAAAAAGACTTTCCAAGAGGGATAGCATATCCTACTTGTGTTTAAGCCTTCATGAACTCATTCCCCAGATTTTGCAGAAGTGTTACAAACACTTTTTGTGTATTCTACAGTGCAGAACTCTGCCTGTCCATGTTTTGGAAACTGTCCTATTAATAGGAAAGGCATTGCCAAGTCCATTGGCCAGGCCAGAATGTGAATGAGAAGGAAGGGCACATTTAACACAGTAAAAAGCGTTAATGGAATCTAAACAAACATCATCATCACCATGGTCAACAGCAAACCAAAAATCACCTGAGCCCAGCCTCCAGCGCTTACCTCCTCTGGTTCTATCAGCTTGAATTCCATGCCTCGGCCTGTCCAGGCAATGAAGTGGGCATTGGCTGGGTCATCAAGAAGGGTGACCAGGAACTGCCACAGCTGGAGGGAACCTCGCCTCTGGTAAGGGGGCCCCTCCCGATACATGGTGGGCTCTTGTTTGACTTTTCCTGTTTGGGACAAAGATACATATGTAATACTTTAGTCCTAAGTTTCTCAAGTGATTTGGACAAAAAGGAATTGTTAATGCTGATTTAATCATTTAACTTGATAAGACTGACTGAGGTGTTCTGACATCTCCAACACTCTAGCTTAGCAAGAGACCTTGAGTGAGGCTACTTACCTTCCAGTCTTTCAGGCACAACACAAGTGTCATCAAAGTATAACCGGGGATCTTTCTCATATGAAAAACCTGTAGGAGAATTTAAAGAGAGAGACCATGTTGCTTAACAAATTTTATCTGTGTTGTACTAAAACTGGATTTGAGGACTAAAATGGGATTCTAGCATTTCAGGTCCTAAGCCCTACTGTTATCTCTATGCCAGACTGAATTTTGGGGGACTTCAAAAGGACTTAGGTGTTTGAGTTCTGATGTAATCACCTGAGCCTCAGTCAGAGCAGCATCAATTCCTGCTATTAGAGCTAAGATGGCAGGGAAGCGCTGAGTCACCAGTAAGATCCTTCACATCTCGCTTCTAAGGTCTGCATGGATCAGTGTTGCTGTGACTAAGCCTTTACATCTGAAAAGACATCTCATCTATTTCGGTTGTCCTAGCTGGATGGATTTGGTACACAGTCACTCCATTTTCCTTTTAGCTAATATTCATTTCAGCCTTTCCTACAAACTTGTCCAGGTTACTGTAGGGAAAATATAGTAAAATGGTCAGGGACCCTCAGATGTTCAGAATCTTGCTGAGCATTTGATGTAAATATGCACGTGCACCCAGGTGTTCCTTGGTTATTGTCTAATGTAATTGTGCACCCAGGTGTCCTGGGTTATGGATTTAAGTATAAAGGATGAGCGACTCTGATCCACATGGCCCCGGGCCCCCAGGGTGGCCTCTACTGCTGCTGGAGACTGTTGCTGCAAGCTGTTGTTAGTGCCCCTGCCCCTGAGGGATGCCCTGCGAGGTCACCACTGTTGCTGCTACTGCTGCTATTTCTTTTTTTTTTTTTTTTTTCTTTCTCGGTGTCGTGCCCGTACCCGGGACCGGCAACGGGATCGCAACCCTCGGTGTTGCACCCGCACCGCGCTCAGCCAGTGAGCGGGAACCGGTCTCCACATGGGATCCAAACCCTTGGTGGAAGCGCCGCCGCGCTCCCAAGCGGCACACTCTCCAGTGCACCACCGGGCCGGCCCAACTGCTGCTATTTCTGAGGACTGAGCTTGTGTTGTCTGCCAGTGGCTCCTGGGATCTTTCCCAATTACCCAGCATGGACCTGCGTGTGAGGGGTCTGGTGATCCAGTCCGTACAACGGGTTTGAAGGGTCTGTGGGCCCTAACCTGTAGCCCTGACAATACAAATGGAAAACTTAGCGTAACTAAAATAATGAAACATTTTGGTTTTAGTTATGAATTGCCTTCCCCTTCAATTGGCATAGTCATATAACCCCAACCAGATAATTAGTGTAGCTATTGCTATAACCCAACAATTGGCGTAGCAATGGCCCTAACCCAACAAGTGATTTAGTCATGTAACCCTACTGTTACCTACATACCTCATTCAATTATGAAAGAGCTTGGAGGGTAAAGAATGTTGCCAAAATGAATAAAGATTTGGGTCTGTAGAGGATTGCGATGAGCAGCATCAAGCTTAAAAGCAAGTTGGAGGTATTATCACCAGTCACAGTAGAAGTAATCTTGAGAATCGCTAGTAATGAAACTTACTCATTGTATAGACAACAAAACAGAGGTTAAGAAAATTGTTCCAACTACACATGTAAAGGAAATGAAGGGAAGGTGTAGGGAAAGTGAAGATAAATGGTTGGGGTCCCTTGGGGGTTTGGAATCTTGCCAAGCATTTGATGTAAGTAATGTAAACTATGCACATGTGCCCAGGTGTTCCTTGGCTATTTGTCTGTGGATGCGCGTGTTCGCCCAGGTATCCTGGGTTATTGGACTTAAGTATAAAGGATAAGTGGCTCTGATCCACAGGGTCCGCTGCCTCCAGGATGCTCCCATGGAGGCGACCACTGCCACCACCACTGCTGAGGACTGAACTTGTGTTGTCTGCCAATAGCTCCCAGGATCTTTTCCCAATTACCTAGCGTCGACCTGCACATGAAGGGTCTGGTGACCCAGCCAGGCATGTGAGGAGTCCGTGACCCAGTCTGTACAACGGGTTTGAAGGGTCTGTGGGCCCTAACCCCTAGCCTGGACAATACAAATGGAAATTTAGTGTAACTAAAATAATGAAACATTTTGGCTTTAGTTATTAATTGCCTAGCCATACAATTGGTGTAGTCACTTAGCAATACAGAAGGTAAGGCAAAAAATGAAAGGGGCAAGGAGAAGGAAGGACAGCCCGACATTCTCCATCTGCAAGTCCTTAACGTGCATTCAGCTCTGCCCCACATGGCACCAGGCAACCTGACAAGATCAGCGGTTCAAAACAGAGGATGCAGATCACATTCTTCCCTGAGGTCTAGCCTGTTCCGGAGTATAAGGACTCCAGTGTACGTTCCTTTACTAGCATACTTCTCAGGAGAATGTCTGATAAAGGATGCATCCCTATGCTCAGTTCTCTGGTTGATTCACCTGCTCATATAGTACAAGTATATGTGTGTTGCATGCAGTAGGGACAGGCAGGGGAAAATGCTCTGTAATGAAAGGCTTTCATTAGAGTTTGAGAGGGATTTGCTGTGACTTGAAAAATCCATGGGTAAATATGCCAAGAAATAATTCCACTATTCTTTATTTCTTCACAATCAGCCCAGATCAAGTAGCTTCTTGGCAGGACCAGCACCATTTCTAAGAGGCCTAGGACTGAAGAAACACTGCCCAAGTTGAAGGAAACTGAGACTGTTTTGAGGTTTGTATTATTCATTTTTGTCTCCTCAATTTCAAGAATGATTTCCCTGTTGCTTAACTGTATCAAAGAAGTATATTTTACTGACATTTATTTATTATTTAATGCACTAAATATTTATGCCAGGCATTGTGCTAAAAGGGGGCAGGTAGCGAGGGGAAGAATACAGACTTGGTCCTTGTTCTCATGGAGCTTACATCCCAGCTGAGGAAGACAGACAGTAAAGGAAAAAAGAAATAAATGAGACATGGTGTAAGGTGGAAGTTAAAGAGTGTGGGTTCTAAAGCCAGACTAAAGACCTCAATTAGCTGTGTGATCTTGAATAAATCTGTCTGCACTCCAGTTTCCTCACTGGAAGACTGGGGGAGATAATTCTTACTTTATAGGGTTGTTATGAGAATTTAATGAGTTAACATATATTCTGTTCCATTGATCTATTTATCTTTACATCAGAGTGCCAAGAATAGCTCTTGGTACATAAGTGTGTCATAAATGATAGTTAAAAAAGTAAACACAGTAATTGCACATTGTGATAAGTTCTGTTAGGAAATTAACTGGATACTGTGAGAGCTTTATCTTATATCCTCTGTCATAGATTCTAAATTCCTTGAGGATAAGGACAATATCCTGAATATGTTAGTGTCCTTACAGCACATTGCACGTAAGTGCTTAATAAATGAGTGACTCTATAATGTACATTAAAAAAAGACTTAAGAATATAATGCTAGTCTTTAAGTCAGGGATTCAGTGATTCCTGATTAGTTTGCAATTTGGTACTAGGAAACTTTGACTTTTATGACAAATTGGTAAACTTTATATTATCAACAAGACTTACATAATCCATTATGTTTCATGCTTTTTGCCTTGGGTGCCAGGAAGCTATTTCCTGACATTCCATACACATTTCATTATTTCAATGATATTTTAATGGTCTCATTATAAAGTTATTATAAGTGAACTACTTCAAAGTGTACACACCTGTCAAACTTGCCATGTTATTTTTGCAGCTTTTCTTCCTCTAAGGTGAGGATAATACATTCACAGTATATAGAAAAAAAAAATGTAAATCTAGATTAAATTCTTGGTTTGGTTTTCAAAACTAATCAGATGAGGGCCTGCCTATAAGGAGTATCGTTTTGATGTATTTTGTGGTTTTTAGTCATTGCCACATGTGGGTCCTCTGAAACATCTCTAAGATGCTATTGGTTTAAGTGAAATTTAAGTCAGTTGAATGTGCACCAACAGTTGTATCAGTTGTGGCCACAACCATCTAATCACTCAAATAAAGGTGGCAGGAAGGAGGAACCTGTTTGAGGGGCAAAGTAGAAATGAAAAACAAAGTATTATGCAAGGATTCCAGGTGAACACTCAAGGCAGGAGGGGTATCTTAGCAATCACAGATGCCAATCAGAAACACTTGTTTTGCTAACTGTTTCATGGACATCTGTGGTCAAGCCTTATGAGGATAGAAAAACTATGTTAAGGTAATTTAGAACATTTAAAAATGCTGGTCTCTTAAACTAATTTCTTCAATGTGGGTGGGGTCAGGGACAGGAACGGGAAAGAGTGGGGGGGAAACACACAAACTCAGTCTGTGTGTCGTAAGCAACCCAATGCTTTACTAAAAATATTTCCTTTAAGAGCATGCTCTTTCCTAAATGTTGTAATTATGCAAAATGTTTTCCTCCCTCTCTTCCCTCTAGTTTGCCTGCTGCAGACATCAACTGCTTCTGTAGAAACATTCAGGAACTTTGGAAGAGAGCCCCACACAGCTGTGCCTATCACAGCCAGTGGTCCAGCAGACAGCCATTCCTTTCCAGGGCTGGACACTCAGAATATCAAAGGGTGCCCAGTGGCACAACACTTGGTCTCCCATCTAACCAAGTCAGTAGGAAGCAGCTTCCCATAGAAACCACTCTTGTGAACTAATACACTTATAAAAACTAGCTAAGGATTCCTGGATATCAGCTCTTCTGACCTTTGTCTAAAACACTAGAGACCAGTAGTTCTCAACCTTGGATGTATGTTAGAATCACCTGGGGAGCTTTAAAAACTATTAAAACCTGTGACCCATCACAGAAGTTGATTTAATTGCTCTGGGTGAAGCCAGGACATCAAAATTTTTAAGAGCTCCTGAGGTGATTCTAATGTGTAGCCGAAGTTGAGAATCACTACTCTGTAGTTCTCAAACTTGAACGTGCATCAGAATCTCCTTCAAGGCTTGTTAAATAACATACTGCTGGGCCCACCCCTCGAGTTTCTGAATCAGTAAGTCTAGTAAGTCCTGAGAATGAAGTCCCAGGTGAAGCTCATGCCACAGGTTTGGGGAGTCACACTGCTCTAGATATTCATGGGGAACGGTATTTGACAGAAAACAAGACATACTTCTGGAGAACCTGCTCTAAGAAAAAAACCTTCTCTTTTTTAAGGTTCAGAATGGAAGTCCTGAACCTATTAACTCAAGTCATGCTTTTGTTCAGAAGTGTAACTTTAAGTTCTGAGCCTACCTCTTAAGACCATTCATGCCCCACAAACTTCATCTAGGTACCCAACAGGGCCCCCTTTCCATCCAATGAGCCCACAGATTTGCTACTGTCATCCATTCATGCAGGAGCTATTTAGCAAAGGCTCCTTGCAGTTCTGAAAGCTAAATTATCCTCTCCCCCACAAAGGCTGTCTTCTGCCTTTTGATTCATATCTAATTACTTCTTTAAGGAGATCCTAAATTTTAAAAATCTGTGAGGATGCACTACAAACAACAACAAAAAAACACAGGCCTTACAAAAACTGGCATCAGATGCCTTAAAAATGTCATATCCTTTTTACCCAGAAATTTCAGGAATTTTGCTTCAAGTATTAATCAAGAAAATGTGAAAAGATTTAGCTAGATGAATGTTTACTTCGTTTGGTTTATTTTGTGGATAATCTGGAAATACCTACATTTTCAGCAACAGGTGATCAGCTAATGCATACTCATGCAATGAGTACTGTGCAGCCATTAAAGAGGAAACCATGGAGGAGTGTCTGATGCTATGCAGATTACATGGGCTGCAGAGTGTGGAGGGAGATGAAGAGTGTGGGTTCTGCAGTCCAGGGCTTGGCTCGGCTCAGAATTCTGGCTCTACTCTCACAGCCATGTGAGACCCGGAGCAAATCTTTTAACCTCTCTGAGCCTCAGTTTCCTCATTATACTATGTGGCTAACAGGACTGCTATGAGAGTTAAACGACTTTAATTCAAGTAAAGAGCTTAGAACAGTTTTGAAACACAGTAAGTATTCAATATGAGTTAATGATTATTGTTAAAAGAGAAAATAGATCATAAAACAATAAGCCCTGTATTATCTGTATGATTCTATATTTATATATACACAGAAAAGACTGGAAAACTAAATTGCAAATTAATGATTATCTCTGGACAGTAATATTTAATTTTCATCTTTTTGCCTGTCTATGTTTTCTAAATTTTGTGTAATTTATTGCTTGTGGTAAGAATAAGCTACAAAAGCTTATATTTTTAACAAAAGAAGCTCCTCCAGGAAAGTTTGAGATCCTAACTTCATTTTGACTACTTCTTGATGCCATATGCTGTAGAACACTTATGCATCTTATTTGTACACTACTTTCACCCCAATTAGGTCAGTGCTAATGAAGGCAAAGTCACAGGCTCAACCCTGCCCAATGTTTCTGCTCCTAATTATAGTGAGATTATTGATGAATTAGTTTGGTCCCAAACGGATTGGGCATAAAAACTTGAATAGATAGCATACACTCAACACAAAACCATCTTCTTTACATATGAATAAATGTCAGGACATATGATAATCCTGGTTTGTGGGCAAACTGCTTTATATCAGTTCTCATGTTTCTCTTTCCAGACATTTTTTATTTAACCAATTAGAAAACATTTTTGCCTTTCTATAGAGTGTTTTGTACATAATATACATCTATAGAGTCTCCCTCAACCTCTCCACCCCCACGTCCTTCAACCCTCCCACCCCCTGCCAGTTCACCTCCTCAGCGACCCTCTCAAGGTCAGTGAAGAACACCTCAAATGTTAAAAGCAGCAACCATTTATCATGTGACAATAGTTACAATGAAGAGTTACCCACCTAAACCAAGTAAAACCTAGAAACACATTTTAAAACTTTTTCTAAGACATCTTTGGGCCACATAAAACCATCCTCACTAATATAATTCCTAAATTCCAATTTAGGCTAGTAGCATTATATAGCTATATAACTTCCATGTCTAGAAGTGTGGAAATGAGGGGTATCATTTTTTCTTCATATTGTCCTATGAAATCTTAAGTTAGGGTCATTGATATTGAAGATGATGGTAGCCCTCACAATGCTTAGAAGTATGCCTTAAACCCTGTGTGCAAAACAACAGAAGATTACAATCAATTAGCTCTTATATTCATGAACTAAGGAGGGCCTAATCCATGATCTCAAATCTCAGCCTGGAAATTGAGCAATTTTAAGCTTATTATAACAACAACAACAAAAAAAAGCAAGCTCCTTACCTTCATGACTGTTGGAGAAATACCCCCCTCTCATGTAGGATGACTGGCAGTTAGGCACTTCTGAAAGGGAAACACAGATGGACACACTCCCATCAATATCAATAGTTTCTGTAGTAGAAGCAACATATTGGTTTAACTGCAGCTCTGTAGTAAAGCCCCTAAACCTTCTCCTGCTCTAGGGTTATGTCTTTTTGGCCTTGTCCTGGAAAAGAGGTACCACCCAAATAAGAAACACGAGAAACACTATAACCCACCATCTGAAAATAAGATATTCCTAATCAAGAGTCGTGGGAGGAAATAAGTGATGCCTCATTCTCATATTCACTCATTTTAGAAATTAGCACCAAGTCTGGTGAGAGAACTAATTGTAGAGAAGGAAATAGGCTTTCAAAAGGTCAAGCTTAGCCTCCTGCCTATACTGCCTCCTGGGCTTTCGTTGGGGAGGAGGAAGAAGACTGCTTTAGATCTTTCCCAATTTGCTCCCCTTTACTGCCGATGGTCACACACAATTCTGCTCCAAGAGGTGAGGGTATTTTTATGCCAAAGGGATTAGGGGATTTGAAGTTATGAAGCCAGGATAAGAACTGGCAGGGGTGGGGGACTGCAGTTTGTCAAGTTTGCAGTGTTCGGACCGTTACACTGAAACCAAACCACACTCAAGTGATCTCTTCTTCAGGCATCATGTTATCAAGGTGTCTGTCAAGAGGAAAGGAAGACAAGTGAGTTGTGCTCATGTGGCACAAGGCTTCACCTTAGGAATACCACTCAGAGCAAAGAATTATAGATATGGTAACATCTGTTGAGTGTCTTGCTTTAAGGAAGTGGGGTGGGGTGAAAAATCCATCAGGACAGATTAAAATGTTAATCCCAAAGGAAAAAAAGTTGCTGGTCATGCCTACTCCTGAGAAAAATACATCAAAGCCTTCAAGAGGAATGCCAGTGGAAATTTTTACAAGTTATCACTACCTCACACTTAGTAATTTTTCTGTCATAAAGCAACAAATGTCTCCCTTCTACCTACCTCTCCAGCCTTTTCCATAACCAATTTCTGCTTGAAAGGAGCAATCTATGTATTATCTCAGAGAAGGCCAAGAGCAAATTCTATATCCCATTCCATTTGCAAAAGCTATTCAAGATCATACTGCCCCACCTTCCCCAGGGTCTTTATGAAAAGACCACAAGGGAAAGGTTGAAAATTTACCAACTGCCCTCAAATTCCTTTTGCACCAACTGCAAAAACAGAGTGAAAGTTTAAGTCATTTCTGAAAAGGGAAGGGGAAATGATGAGGAGGAAACAGTTGCCAAATGTGCAAGCTGAAAAATTCCAATTCTCCTTTCCTCTAATAGTCTCATTTAATGTGCTTGGCCTACAAGATATGTGGCAGTGAATGGGAGAGATGGGGGATAGGTCCCCCAAGTACAGCTTAAACTGCTTGATATGCTTAAGTTCATAGGTAAGAGGTATCCCATTACCAAACAATAGATGCCCTAACATGTTATATATCTCCCTCTGTATACCAGCAGCCACTGAAGACACAAACTTTCCCAGTTGCAAGCATTGCAATAGAGCAGTGAAAGCCATGAAGCAACCAACAAGACAGCCCTTCTCATGGTGTATCCAGTACCTCTTACAGCTATGAACTATCAGGTGCCTTCTCAGAACACCATTTATTTCAAGAATAGAAAGAATCTGTCCTACACGTAGACTCTCTTTCTTATACTGGAAATTTAATGGGTCTGTTGAATTAAAAAACAAAGTCACAAAACTAAAGACAGGACTAAAATACAGAAATAATGTTCCTTGTGTCCAGTGAGCCTAAGGCTAATATATCTTAAATCACTCAATACTGGACCTCGGCAATCTTCTGGCTTGGACTCAGGTGTACTTTGCTCCACTTATGAATGCTCCTGCACTTCCTACTATTTATATAGCTTTTCTGTTCTCTTTTGTATTCAGTTATGCATAAACATGTCTGCTTTACTAGCTCACAAGTTCTTTGAGAGCAATTCTTATAAAACTATTCCCCAGTGCCCTGCACATAGAAGACACTCAACAGCAATGAGGCAGATGAATGTGAGAATGCAGAAATGGATGGCAGGATTTCATGCTAACCTGAGTCAACGCAGTAATCCCGGGGCTCCTGCTTGATTCCCATTGGTGACTGGAACCCGTGTGCTGGGGGGCCTGGCATGCCTGGGACCCCATGCTCATAGAGCGGGTCATGGTATTCTTGTTTGAATCCCTGAGGGGGAGGGGGAGCTGCAGGGACAATAGGTTCTGACATTTGCCGGTGGTAACTGGGGCGATTATCTCCAGGAGCTCCTGACTGAGGAGGGAAGGGGTGGCAGGGTTCAGACAGCTGTCTCTGAAATCTGTAAGAAGAAAGAAGTTACTTGTTTAACTAAGACAGGATGAATACCTACTATGATTGAGCACTGGAGACCAGAAGTTCAAATTAATTTATTTCTGGACAATTTACCCTCTTCCCCAAATTATGTCACACATTTCAAACCTCTTGAGTCAGGGAGTGGCCAAAAAAATCAATCAAAGCAATGATGTGGTAGCCTCTTATCTTACATGTAAGTTTATTTCATGCACAGACTGTCTTTACATATGGGCCAGATTATGTATTTGTAGACAGAATGAATTTTTAAAGACTGAAGAGTACAAATTAACCAGTTAGAAAATGTAGTTAAAGAAATAAAAAGAAAATCCTATCCACAATAGCAAACAAAAACAAAATTCCTAAGAATAATCAGGAAATGTATAGGACATATAAGAATATCTTAAAATTGTTTTCTGAGGAAAAGAAGATCTAAGTAAAGAGAAAATACTGTATATTTAGGAACTTTGAAGCTGTTGATTCACTGCAAATTATTCTATAAAAGCAAAAACCTTTTCAACCAACTTGACAAAATGATTTTAAACTTCATTTAAAAGATTAAATAATGTTTTAAAAGAAATAATGACTTACTAAGTATTTACACATATTATAAAACTACAATAATTAAAACAGTAATACAAGGAATGAAAGATTGGTAGATCAAAGGAATTGAATTGTTAAGTCAAAAACTGTCTCATATATTGTAAAATTTACTACTCGTTAAGGTTAGCATTTCAAATTAGTGAGGAAAAAGTTAGACTCCTTTGTTTATCACATGCCCAAATAAATTTCATATGGATTAAAGATTTTTTTTTTTTTTGGGCAGCTGTCTGGTGGATTAAAGATTTTGGTGTAAAAGTGAAACCATAATAGGAAGTAAATATACAGAAAAACATGTTTGGAGTGAGGGAAAACTTTTCTAAACATCATACCAAAAGCCAAAATCAAGATAAACATAGATATACCTCACCGTATAAATTTCTATAAGTCAGAAAACACCAGAAACAAAACCAAAAGAAAAATATCAAATGGGGTTGGGCAGGGGACTATAATAGTCAGAAAAAAAACAGAAACAAAACCAAAAGAAAAATATCAAATGGGGTTGGGCAGGGGACTATAATAGTCAGAAAAAAAACAGAAACAAAACCAAAAGTAAAACTGGGGAAAAAATTTCTAACAGATACAGCAATGTTAATATTGTTGACATAAAGAGCTTTTAAAAATCTACGAAAGATTAATATCTCAATAGAAAAATTGGATAAAGGGAATAAACAGCAAAATCACTACAGAAGAAATACTAATGGTCACAAACAAACAAAAAGTTTAACATCATTAGTAATCAAAAAAGTACAAAGTAAAAAGAGAAATACTTTTTCCTGTTAACTTGGAGGATGAGCAGGCAGCTAATAATTCTGTGCCTGGCACATAAACTGCACTTGAATCAGATGATTAAATAAATCTACAGAGATGGTTACCGATGCAAATGTCTACCAAGGGAACTGGTTTACATTGTGATATAGCCATTTAGTTGAAAGCAACCATTAGATATGATATAATATGCAAATACATAAAAACCTGGAAAGGTATTTTTGATATATTAAGGCAGGTTGCTAACTAGTATACAGAGCATCAAAGCTTTGCAAAAATAAAAAAAAGTATCATGGTGTCCTATAAAATCATGGAAAGATTTACACCTAAATGTTAACACTGCTTATCTTTGGGATGGTTATAATTTTAGTTGATTTTCCTTTTTTGCTCATCTACAATTTAATAATAAATATGCATTATTTTTAAAACAAGACAACAATAAAAGCCTTTTGCTATTGTTATTAGTCAACGAGTATCCTTAACACTCTTTAGCTGTCAGATAAATCCAGATGTGTGCCAACTGACCTTCTCCTTTTGAGCGGGTACTGTTTTTTAAAAAAAATCAATGAGTTTTTTAAAAATCAGCAATATAATCCTGTAATATTAAGTACTCTCTACTCTTAGCTTGAATTCTATTTTTCTTTTGGGTGGCTGGCTGGTACAGGCATTGAGCCATGGACCTTGGTGTTATCAGCACCATGCTCTAACCAACTGAGCTAACTGGCTAGGCTTGAATTCTATTAATAGCTTTAATCAAATAATTTGATTTTGATTTGAATCAGTCTGTGGCAACAGGTGGCCAATGCATTTCTAAAACATCAAGATTTAGAACTGTGAAGAGATCTGGGTGCAGAAGAGACACTGTTTAGATCAGGGTATAGAACAACATGATATGTTCTCTGTGAGTCTTTGCTATCCTATGGAAAGCAGCACCAAAATATCATTTCATAACATGAAGACTACTGAGCAATTTACATATAATTATCCTTTCATCTCAGATATTGAAAACATCAGAATCTGCCTGGCCAATGTCTTAAACCACTTTTACAAACTATATAAGGTTCAGGGGGTCAAGAGCCTATCACTGGGGTGCTGAGTGCACTAAAGTAGAACTTCATCAGAAACTCGATTTTTAAGATTCCTGTTATTTAAGGAAACCCTTCAATGGTCTTTGAAGAAGTGTAAATTTGCAACTCAGGTATAGGCTTGACATTTACAATATAGGCAACAGCAGCATGCTGCAAACCTGACTCTTTCAGAAAAGAAAGTTGAAGATACTCTTAAGGCCTTATTTTTATAAAGTTCCCAAACCTTATGCTACTCGGAAGGAGCAGTAACAAAGGCATCCACCTTCCATTTTCTCTCCCTGTCCCCTCTGCCACCATTGTAGCAGCTTCAAAGGTGACCTCCACAAATCAGTTCCTTTGGTGGCCCCAAGATGGCATGTATCACTCAGTCCTGTAACCAGAGCCTCCGTGCTGGCAAGCCCCACCGCCCCATCGTCCCACTTCCGCTCGGTGCTCATCTTTTTGCCTTCCAGAGTGAAACTCTAGAGTTGGCCTGGTATGGCCTCCTCAGGAAAAGGTACTTCTATATGGGCACCAGCCAGCAACCTCATCCCCTCCCCCAGCATGACTTTAAGGATGCATAAAGCTTAGATGCCTGTGAACTGCAGAACAGATTCTATAATTGGGATTGTTCAGTCCTGGTTTGTTTTGAAAGAAGTGGGAGTAGCAAAGGGGATCTCAGGGGTAGGTCACAAAACCAATATATTTGGAAAAAATAATCTCTCAGAGCTTGCTGCCCATAATGACTTTTATTTGCAGAGCTTAGTGGAATAAGTCAGTTCTTGTCCTCAAAATACATTTTGAGAACTTTACTCACTGACCTTCATTTGAACCCCCTTCCCCTGTCTGCAATCTTTTTGAAGCATCTGAGAATGTGTTGTATACATAATACAGCTATGGCAAAGATGCTCCTGTTTACAAGACAGGCAATCATTTTCAATGAAGGAGTAGCTTGGTTCCTTACAAACCTCTTCTTCCCTTTAACCTCCCTCCCCCTTTCTCCCACCCCACCTCCTATCCCAACCAAGCTCATGCGTAATGAACTCACATTTGGTGAGCAAAGGGAGACTTCTGACTACTGAATAAGCTTCAACTCAATAGGTTACAGATTAAGGCTTTTTCAGTGCCAGTTTATTTAAAGAACCAGTTATTTATTTATTTGTCAGATTTATATAGCGCCTTTCCTCCCAAGAGCTCACCCACGCTACCAACATTTGGTTTACATTATGAAAACCGTTAGATGCTTTTTCTGCATTTCCTTTTCAGTTTCTGCTGCCAACACACAGAGTAAACACAATGCTTACAGGAAAAAAGGAGAAAAGTGTAGATTCGATGAAGGCTACACAGTGGTTATGGGTGCCAGGTGAAGTAGTGACGGTCCAGAGGCCAGCTAAAAGATGACACAGAAAATCTGCCAAGAAACCAACACCATACACTTAGTATTTCCGTTAAGGCTGAGAGAAGAAGACGGAAAATAGAAAAGCAGCATAGCTGGGTAAGAGGCTCTGGCTGTGAAGTCAGAACATCCTGGGCTGAAATCCAGGCTTTACTAGTTACTAGCTGTGTGACCTTTGGTGAGTTATATAACTGCTCTGAGCCTCAGTTCCCTCATCAATAAAATACGGGTAACCGGGATACCTTCCACAAAGATTTGTTATAAAGATTACATAAGATAATGCATATAACAGGGCCCAGCACACTGGTAAGTTCTCAATGTACGTTACCTTCAACTGCTCTACCTTTTCCCTGCAACCCCCAAGCTAAAATCAGAAGCTATGCAAATATAAGGGAACATCTTAAGGAACTGAGAGAGGACTATCACACATACATGCTCACACAAATCAAAAGAGCCCCACTGGTTGTGTACCGAACATCCATTCTCCTTTTTCAGAAAGAGAATACTGATTTTTATTGTGGGTGGCAATGCGCCACCCAACTTCACATTAATTTTTATTTTCCTGCCATATAATCAAGAACACACCAAAGAACTCTGAAAGAGCTCCCAGGGCTCCAGGAGGCTTGTCAACACTGCCTAGACTCCAACTGGCCCATCTAAACTATGATAAAACAGTGAGAGGAGAGGAGCCAAATATCTCCTTTTTAGGCATAGATGTTTGATTTCTCAAGATCAAATCTGGGAGAAGGATGGTGATGCAAACATGACTTGTCCCCAGGATATAAGATGGTGAAAATCTTAGTCGTACATATACAACCCTAATAAGTCTAATGATGAAGAGAAAAGATTAGGAATAAAGGGAGACTTACATTTTAAAAACTTAACATTAAACAAAGCAAAGAGTTAAGTTTGTGGTATCTACATTTTAGACAGATTTTTTTTAGTATAGTATATGGAAAATAAATGATTTTTTAAAAAAGTAAAATAGTCAAAAAAAAGTAAAATTGTCATAGAAGCTAACATTTACTGAGCACCTTTTCTGTCTCAATGTTATTTTATTTAATCTATCCAACAATTCTACTATTCTCCCATTTTCAGATGAAGAAACCAAAGTTTACAGAAGTTAAGTGCCTGTTTCATCTCATACAGTAGCAGAGC